GTTGACCGTCTTCTTGTTCATCTTCTCTTTCTTCCTTTCTTGGCCCCCTGCCGGCCGCTGTAGTTTTTTACTCCATGTTTAGTAAATCAGTGGAATTACAAATTTTTGAACTGGCCAGTCTAGTAAATCTCTCACGCTACCTGAGCGTCTACGCTTCAGTAATGGTCACAATAACAACTGAGGTGTATATGCAGTATGTTCGAGATAACAGCTGTGATGTGGTTTCTTGATTTAATTCAAATTAAATTTAAATATGAATTTTGATGTGTTCCCTAAACAAGCCACCCACCTAAATTAAGCTACGCTAATTTACAATGAAAACAAAAAGCGTAGCTTAGTGCTTTGATGTGCTAATACAAATGTGTTAATGAAAAAAAAAAATGTCATCTCTTTTGATGAAATTAAAATAAGCAATCAAATTAATTAAGGAAATTAATGATACTTGTAAATATAATATAAAAGGAAAATAATCACACTTTGATTGGTCAAAATAACAAACTTGGTTAAACAAAACACGGTTGGTTAAACAAAATAAAGAATTTGGCACTTATATTTATAAAACTGAGATTACTAACGAATATAAAAGGAAGTAAATTGTCTAACAATATACAACGAAGATGGGGGTTAACTAAAGGAGGAACAGGAAACCTACCATATGGACTTGTTTATGATAATGATTGCTCTGGATAAGTTCTGGTCGGACCCTCTGGATACTCTGAATATGCTGGTGTGTAGATCTAAGCATTTAAGCTACCATTGAAGAACTTTTGAGTTGGCTCTTCATGATGATGTTTCCATTGCTGAGGTTCAAAGTGGTTTGGGAGTTTCGAACGATAGCTGCCTCGTTCATTGGAGTGTTACCCGAATGTTTACCCATGACTTCTGTGAGAGTTAATAAGCCTCGAATAATTGCTGTGTCTGGTTGTACCTGACTGAATGCTGCAATTCGTGCTGCCGCACTAAATATTGTCGCGGTAGATGCCGCAATAATTGCTTGAAGAGGAAGCAACGTCTCTGGAGATTGTGAGGGCTATCTTCCTTTGTCTGACGAAGGTGATTACTTCTTCTACTGTTGGGAATGTGCTTGTTGAGGCCCTTAATGCTAGAAACGCCAACAGAACCTCGGATGAATGTTCCAAGTTGAGAGTCTTATAACATTGAATGTTGTCGGCTACACCTATAAGGAAGTTCTCATAATTCTGCAGCTTGTTCCTTGTATTCTTGGTTTCAAAATCCAATATTTGCTGAAGAAAATATGTCGCTAGTACCCTGGGATTGTTATAAGTTTGCATCAATTTATCCCAAGCTAGAACATATGACCTATCTTCTATTGGAATATTTGAAACCAAAGCTGCGGCTTCACCCTTTAGTACCCCAAAGTAGGTAATGGTGTCCTTAAAATGGGTCCAGTTCTTTATCTCACCAGAGAAAGTTGGTATGGGTATCTGTGGTAAATAGGCCTTAGCGCCAATTGTCCTGCTCGTGGTTGGTTCCACAGAACGATATACAGGATCCTGAACTGCTGGACTCAACTCCGCTGCTAGTTTCCGATTTATCTGGATCATGATAGATTTTGCTTGTATTATTTCACTCCTACAAGCGTCGTAAATCTCCTGCATACGTGCACTCGGGAAATCTTCACCCGCAAGAGCGTGAATGGTGTCACATTGCTCCCATTTTTCCATAAACAGCGCCCAATCGGAATTTGCAGCATCTATTTGAGCTTCAAATAATGGAGCTTTCTCAAGATCCGAAAGTGCTGCCGAACCATAATCTGAACATCCCACGATGTTCCGGTGTAAACCTCTGAGCTGTCGCTCCAGGGCCGTGATTTGAGTTTTGTAATCAGTGGTAACTGGTGCCATTTTCATAAGAAAAAACGACGCAGCAAGGGGGTTCAAGGAAGCGAGAACCGATGAACACAAAGAAGACTGCAATATAATAAAGAGAAGAGAGAGATAACTATAAACAAAACAAACCAGGCATGAATGTGCTAAAGAGCCCATGCAGAAACTGCTATAAGAAAAAAAATCGCAATTTAAGCAATAAAATTTAAATGAATGAAAAATGAGGTATCTAATTATAAACCATACACATATATTTATAATCAAATTAATTGCTTTTAATTTGATATAGAATGCTAAGTTATAAAATATGTGTGTATATATAAGAATAAACATCAAATGAGTGTTTTTATCCAATAGAAGTTGCTATAACAAAGAGAAATTAAAAGACTGCTACCTCTTTATTTAGTGAATGAATCAATAATGAATGCTTAACTTAATTTCTGGACGTTAGATATTAACATTGAACGATTATGATTACTATTAAAATACTTATTAAAGACAATAAGTGCTAATTAATTTCTGATAATATACAAACTAGTAATGTAATTCAGTAGATAAATCAATAAATAATTTGAATACAAAAAAAATTATTAAATGCCTGGTAAATAAATGTTTCTCAATTAAGGTAGTGGTTGTTTTAAAGAGGGCTACAAAAATGATAATGCATAACTGATATAGATTCATTATGCATCAAAACCTAATTCAAATATCAGAAAAATAAATAGGCCAATGAATAGAAATTAATTAATTAATTGCTAAATTTGATGTGATAAATATTATAAGAAGGTAATTACAAAGCTAAAATGAGAACAAATATAAATATGAGTGCCAATATACTACGTTTAACCTGAATGACATACATTAAATATAATTTATACTAAAATTGTTTTAGGTTAATTTGGTTTTTGTATGATTTAATCATTAAAGATTTTAATGATATCGGGGCCCGGTGGACCATATGTTTAATTTATTATTAAAGATTTTAATAATATCAGAGCCTTGAGGACCAAATGTTTAAGTTTATTATTAAAGATTTTAATAATATCAGAGCCCGGAGGACCAAATGTTTGATTTATTATTAAAGATTTTAATAATATCCGGTTTTAATAATTTTACAGTCCACAGCAATAAATTATCACCAGCTCTTAAAGCAGAATTATTATGACAATATCCCTGACAGCCTTGGAAGGGATTGGCATAGTAAATTGAACATGGCCATATATGTCAACCACATTAATTTGGATGATAGTTGAAGGATTCGAAAAGGATATGCTATTTACACTTGTGTAATATTGTTTCCAAGCTTTCAGAAGAGAACACTTTCAATGCTATTTTTCTTTTGGTTGGTTTTCGGAAATGAATGTCTCAATCTCTTAGTATTGAGTAAAAAAGAATATGCATTTTCAGACTATAGCAATGTTTTTGGATTGAAAATTAATCACAGTTACTATTATTTACCTAATGGCATCAATCTCTTATTGACAAGAAAATATTATATTTTCCGCAAGCGTGTTTCATTGCACATCTATAAGTTAGCTCCTATTTTTGGTGTTCCCCATAAAAGCGACAAAATCGTCCGATAAAATACCAAAAATATAGTCGTAATATAATAATATTACACCTAATAACTAACTAATCATCAAGAATAAGAACTGTATTCGTTTTGTTGTGGTTTAAGCCTTATGTTGTGCAACATTCAATCCTAATGATTGCTTGCTTTGCTGGTTCGATGAGGACTTTAAAAAATTTATTATATGAAAAATGACAAAATCGTCCTATAAAATTCCAAAAATATAGTCGTAATATAATGATATTACATCTATGCGATAAAAGAGACACAATTAAAAAATGCAGTATTTTTAGAAAAAACAACTTTTTCCAGCAATCGTATAATTAATATTCTTCATTTGAAACAAGGAAAAACCAAATATTTTGTAACAATATACTGAAAGCAATCTTAATACATCCTGAATGTTAGCTTGAAGAGAGGCAAATAAATCTCTTACGCACCGCAACAATCCATGTGCAAAATCCCTAAAATATTTACTTATAACATTTGTGACCACTGATTTATGTATTTATGAAAACTGCTAAACTTTGAATGTTCAAAAACAATATATTTATCAAATTTTTAACTCAAATTATATTGCAAAACACCTGCTCCATCTGATTAAATCTACAAATCTTGCTATCACAAAAATTATATTTTTATTTTATATCATTAGTCAAAGGCAAAACCACAAATGTAAAAAAAAGAAATCTAATTTCATTCTATTCCAAAGTTTAATATTATTTTCGCCCAAAATTTCTAAAGATGTAACCATGAATGTGAAAAATGAACCTGTGTAGATCATTTGTGTATCTAATAATAATGTTAATTTTTTGTTATCAAAGTAAATTCTTGATACATGTTGCTGCCTTATTATCCTTATCGGGGCAATCTGTTACATTTTTGTGTTAGGAGTATTGCTATCATGTTCATGTATAGTTCAAAGGCACTAAGAGAGGTTTCCTGGGACTGAAGGAGTTATTTAATACAAATTCTGTGTATTCACTCAACCAATAATTCTGAATTACTGAATAACCCCATTTAAATCTTCCTTTGGTAGGATGCATAGATGCCGGAACTTAAGAAACATTGAAAGACAAGAGGCGAAGGTTAATGTAACATTCAATGCATAGGATAGGGGAAGGGAATAGAACACCATACATTAGGTAGTAGTTCAGTAATTAGTTTATTTTCGGTAATATTTTATAAATAATATTTATACGTTTTATTGAACTTTTTCAAAGTTATTTTTAAGTAAAAGACTGCGAAATATTGGAGAGGCCGACCCTATTTATAAAATATTGGGAGGAGGGGGGGGGGGGGCAAAATGTGCCTCTGGCAACTATAATTTTAACCCAATTTCATTTTTTTACTTGTCTCTTTACATTAGTATCATACTTTTTAAAATAAATTCCTAAATAATTGAGCAAAATCATTGATTTATTAGTATGTATTCCTAATTTTGCCAGTTAATTGTTGTTATATATCATGCAATTTCTGGTTTGTAAATAATTAAGTAAATGAATAAAACTTTCTGATTGGAAAAAAAAAAATACTCTGAAATGAATGATTTGAATTATCTTATCTTAAATTTGTCAATTCAGGATTTGGCCAACACTGAAGCCGGTAGATCCAGTGCTCCTACAACTATTAATGCTCACCAAAATGAAATAGCTTGTTTGTCAATTAATCAACAAGGGATTCTGGTTGCTACGGCATCAACTAAAGGAACTTTGATCCGAGTTTGGGACTTGGCTAAAAGAATGCTTCTTGTAGAGCTAAGAAGAGGAACAGATGCTGCAACCGTTTATTGGTAATCATTTTTAATGCTTAATATTTTATATGCTTTTGTAAAGGTTTTATTGTATATTCTATAGCAATAATGTATTTGTTATAGTCTATGGTACAGACCCCTTTTTATTGGATTATTAATATCCGCCTGAAACTTCGTAAATAGTTTCATCTCATCGTAACCTACAACTATTTTGTTTTACGAAAACTCTTGGAATTGGAGCGTTTTCTATCTGGAGGGGGTCAAACATTGTCTATTTAATTAGGTACTAAAAACTCGTAAGTACTCATTTGCTTTCTACTTGAATCGTAAGATAATTTGATCACAAAATCGAGAAAAAAAGGTGGCCTACAAAAATGTTGGGCTGTTTGTCCTATATAAAACAGCCCTATTATATAGGACAAACAGTACAACATTTTTGTAGGCCACCTTTTATTTTGATTTTGTGATCAAATTATCTTACGATTCAAGTAGAAAGCAATCGAGTATTTACAAGTTTTTAGTACCTAATTAAATAGACAAAGTTTGACCCCCTCCAGATTGAAAACGCTCCAATTCCAAGAGTTTTCGTAAAACAAAATAGTTGTAGGTTACGATGAGATGAAACTAAATACGAAGTTTCAGGTGGATGTTAATAATTCGATAAAAAGGGGGCTGTATCACTTACTATTGTTTGTTAACTAATAAGTAGGATACACTATTCATTAATATATATATATATATATATATATATATATATATATATATATATATATATATATATGTGTGTGTGTGAGTTAAGTTATTTAGTAATATAGGAATTAAAAATAAAATAAAAGGTAATGAAGTGAGCACTTACTGCTTAAACAATACTGACTTTATTTTCCAATTTTTGTTTGTAACGCTTGTAATATATGCGGAATTGTTGATTTTCCCTTTGTGATAAGATTTTACTAATTCTTTTTGTCTTTCGGGGTCTATAATAGTCTCCACAATTTTTGAACACAAAATAAGGTTCCTATTGGCGCCTACCCCGCTTGGTAATATCATGAAGTATGCGGACTTTTTTTTTTTTTGGGTCCTCCCCTTCCTCGCCATTAAGGCTATACGGGGTTCTCGGCCAGAGAGTGTGGGCGGGGATTTAAAAGACTCCCCCGGCACCGGGATGCCAACTTGGAACTATTTTTCATCGTTGTCTCATATGACAGGTTGCCGGGCAATGGCGGTGCTGTGCACACTCGTTAGCCTATTCGGCCACCCCGCCCACAGAAGTATGCGGATTATATCTGCCGGTGGCACCAAAGGAATGGTCCATATTGTCACAAAATTGTGATGCCCATATTCAAGTGTTCTGTTTGTGTCATGCCCTCCGTACGCGTTTACCAGATAATCTGCAGTGAGTATTGGTTTACAATAGTATCCATTTCCCAAAAACCATGATGTCAGGTTTTCATAGAAACTTTGTCCTTGTCGCCGTCGGACCTGACTGGATTCCTTTTTTAATCAAGTTATTAATCCGATTTCTGGCACTTGCAGGCTATTGCAGATCGACAGTATGGCTGCTTGTGAATCGATAAAGATCACAACTCGGGAATAGGTGAGTTCTTTATCTATTTCAGTCAATGCTGCCGAAATGGCTTTGACTTCTCCATCAAAGTTTGTTCCCCGGCTACCAGCAGGGATGGATAACATGAAATCTTGGCAGTATACTCCTGCTCCTGCATTCTGCGTAGCTGCTTGAGCGGAGCCGTCGGTGTATACGTGGAGCCAATTCTGCTCGGAATAGTGGCTTTATGTGTGATGTGGACATCAGATTTCTGAATATTCTCCCGAGCTCGAAGTTAAACTATCCCTGGAGCCTCATCTTGTGGGTTTACCTTCATGGGTTCTGAAGCTGGGTTTCTCATGTATATCCAGGGGCATGCCCTAGCAATGTGACCTTTGTCTCCACATTGGAAACATTTAATGGAGGGACAATTAGCAGCGATGTGCCCTGACCGATTATATTCATAGCACCTTCGAGCATTTTCTCTTCTTGGTCCCTGAGAAGTAGAGCTTTTTTGTCCTCTGCTGTGGGGTACCATTTTGTGGTTCCGTGATGGTTTCTGTCTGGGGTCGATAGGTTTCCTGTAGGTCCTCCTGTTTCTGAAAGATAAAGTGAATCTAAGTTAAGTTTGAATGTAGGGAAAGAGAGCTCTTGCAGCTTTCCCTCACTCAAGTTCCACCTCCCCAAGACCTCTCTCCAGCTCTACTTCCCCTCTTAACCATAGTAACCACTTTACACCGGGAAAGCGTTATTCCATTTTCTTCAACTTTTGCTCAAATGTTTTTAAAGGTAGGGATTTTAATTATAAAATGGAATAAAACAATGAAAGGGGCAGTTAAATAATCAAATTGAGAAAAGAATATAGATGAATTCGGGAGTTCTGCTGTTCACAGAACTCGATGTTGTTACCAGAACCCAGATATGTAGATCTAAATTTATCAAGAAATAGATCGTAATAAAATCAATAAATAGATGAAAAATATAGAACAGAAAAGAATCTGATACTACATTATGAGCATTTTTCATTTCTGAATGTAAACAAAGAGAATTGTCCATTATGTATTATTTGAGACTGTACTGTATTAGCTCGAATCAAATGAATCGCAGTTGTAAATAGCCAATCTTTCTGTAAATCAATGTAGGAAATTTATAGCTTCCTCATACTCAAAAAGCAAGTGTTCCGTTTTCTTTAATATTACTTACTGATGCTTTCTAGACAAATATCTGTTTATTACGAGGATTTTACTTTTTTTTTCATTAAATTAAAATAATTAAATATTTAAACATAAAAATATACATAATAATTTGTGAATATATTCAATTGATTCAAACTCAGAATGAAAACCCCAGAAAAGATCTTTTTGGTGGAAAATGGCAACAGATCTATTATAAAATAGAATAGGCAAAATAGATCAAAAAAAATCTGATAGGGTTTTTATATTTTAAATCTACTACTCAAGATTGGTATAGATCTTTTGAGATCACAGTTTTCCCTTAAACAGAAAAAAAAGACAAATCCTTAAAATCCAAGCCCTGGTTATTACATTAAATGTAATTTAATCTTAATGGTGTAGAGATGGTTGACCATGATATAATAGGAGAAGGAGTTGGTCGGAGGTTGCAGTCAAATAAATTAAATACTAAATTTTCAAAATTGTATTTTAATCGTTACGCCAACGTTTCGACCCACTTTCTAGGTCTTCATCAGGGGTTGGTACAGGGCAATGCAGGTAGCAGTTGATAATGTGGACAGGTCTCAAAGAGAGAGACATGTTGTGACTGCCAGTCTATTAACTGCTTATCTGCATTGCCCTGATGAAGACCTACCAAGTGGGTTGAAACGTCGACGTAATGATTAAAATACTATTTTGAAAATTTAGTATTTATTTGACCGCACCCCCCGACCAACAACTTCTTGTAATTTACTTTTAGTTTATTTTATCTTTGTTTATTCACTCATTGTTCACATTTTATCGTTTATTAGATACGATACACCCCACCTTCATTTGATTCAAAATCACTTTCAGGTTCTAAATTTGAGTCATGCAATGAAATGATAAAATTGTCAGTCAACTCATCTGCTAAATTTTTCTATAATCATTTTCACATGACAAAGAATGGTTGCACATTTTTTCAATCATTAGCACTGATCATATTGCACCTCTCATTTATTAAGTCAGATACTTTTTCCATTTTTAGTTCCACATTATTCTTTGCAACATATCCTTTTATATTGGCCCATATTTTTTCGACTGGATTTAATTCTGGGTGACACTGTGGTAATCTAAGGATGTGGAAATTAGATTCTTTGAAAATAGTTTTTAGTGTGAAAATCTTTGTTAATTTTCATGCAACTCAGGCTTCAACATGTCAGGAAATAAATGATTTTTTTTCTTTGTCAGCCATTCAACCATATTCTGTTTTTTTCTAATTGACGTCGACGCTTATTCTAATAACTTATTATGATAGGAAGCGGTATCTACCACCAAAACAGCTGTTCAAGGTAAATTGGGTATTAATTTTTCACCTAACCAGTTTTCGTGATTTGCTGTGTTCATTTCGTTGTGATAGTCTCCACTTTTAAGGTGGGATTAAAAAGGTAATAAGGCCCCTGGAATGAAACCGTTTTATGACACTGCATGAACTATTATCATCCTGGTTCCCTTGGTAATTTTTGTTTTAAAGCCCAACCGATTTCCATTAGTCCATTTGACATTGTTTGCATGTGTTGAATGAACATAACTTTCATCTGAATAAACAATGGGGCGACTTTCTTTTCGATATTTAACTTTCATCTGAGTTAACAATGGGGCGACTTTCTTTTCGATATTTAGCTATTTGGTTCAAATATTTTATTCTTTTGAGGCAGATATCACTTTTCGCATTTAAAATTTTAGATTATCTTCACATTTGAAATTTTTTTATGCAACCAATTTCCCTTATTTTTAGTAAAATATCTTTTAAAAATGGTAGTTTTCTATCAGTTATATACATTTTTTGTCTGAGAGTAGATAGTTTTCCCTCTACCCAGTTAACTTGACATAGTAAATAAAAATTGACATAAGAAATGAAAAAAAAAAATGATAAAAGAAATTCCTTCTTGTAAACAAAAATTTAGAAGTACGTACAATTGAGTAGAGAAGAAAAGTGTGGGTGATAGGCGGGAAAATGTTTTGCCACTGCGCTCTCTTTTCACCTCTACCCACCCTCAAACCTTTCTTAGATAGAGTCAACCTGTCTCCACGGTTGGCTTTCTAGTTTTTCCTGCTCTCTTGTTCTCTTGTTTTTTCTCGCACATACTCGATAAAAAATTTTTCTGAGGCTAGTTACTCTTTCATCGTTAAGTTTCATCCCAGTTTTACCTTTAGGACCTTCTCAAAAATTGCTAACTGTTGGGCTGCCTCCACTTGCCCTATAGTCTCGATGAGTTTTTCGGCAATAGCTGTATACTGATTTAACATTATTTCGGCAAAATTATAATCCGACTGCCCAGACTTTCTAACCTCCGTAAACAATCTGTTGACATCTTCTTCGGTTGTCTTCTCTCGAACGCCTTTTTCTGTCTTTCATGGCCTCTTCCCAGGCTGTCATCTCATCGGCTTGTATCCTGTTAAGGACATTTCTCCTAACTCTTCCAACTAGAGATGCCCTAAGTTCAGTGGCATAGAGTAAATCCACCCATCCTGAAGAGATTCTTGCCTCAATCAGACTGTGGATTTGATTTCCTCGTTTTAGAAAATGGTTGAGGTGACCGCTGCATTCTTTAGGCAAGTGACAGTAGCTAACTCTTACCCACTCTAATTGCACCAGCTCCTCAAGATTAGAATCAACAACTTGATTTACCTCTATTTTGGAGGAAGTGTCACTATTTTGGTCCGGTTGTTGGTCTTGAGGAGCCATAAGTAGGTCTGGACGTTGATTGGTCAGTGTTGCGTTATCTAACTGCCTTGATCTTAAATGAATAAGCTTCTAAAATTACGTCTTCCTCAGAGCCCACAACCAATGTAATTCCTGGGTTTCTCGGCACCAGTTAAGTTATTTAGTAATATACATACTTACATACATATATAGTTGGCGCAACAACCCGTTAACAGGTCTAGGCCTCCTCCAAAAGTCTCCGCCAGTAGGCTCTATCTGTTGCTGCAGCTCTCCAGTTCCTCAGGCCGAGGAGATTGTGTGTGTCCGCTGTGACGGAGTCAGCTCACTTCACATTTGGCCTACCCATTCTTTGCTTGTCATGAAACTCTTCAGCCAATGTCCTCTTAGGGATCTCGCCCTCCTTCATCCTTGCCATGTGGCCCGCCCATCGGAGTCTCCCAATCTTGATCCACTTGATGATATCAGGATTTCTGTATTGAGAGTTCCTGGTTCTTCCTGCTTATCCAGGTGTCTCTCTCTCGGACCGGGCCAAAAATTCTTCTCAATATCCTCCATTCAAACACCATAAGGAGGTTCTCACTGGCTCTAGTGAAGGCTCAGGTCTCTGACTCATACAGAAGTACCGGATGAATCAGGGTGAGAATGACCATGTTGGGATCGAACAGCATAGTTCGTATCGGATCTGACCTCTCTGGACCTATTGCCACAAACATTGGGGTGAGACAGGAAGACGCCCTTGCATGCCTTCTCTTTAATTTGGTAGTGGAACAAGCAGTACGCAGATCGAGGATCCATACACGGGCCATCTTATTCAACAGTACGGTCTAGTTAGTGGGGTATGCAGATGACTTCGACATAGCTGCCAGATCTGAGCGTGCCCTAAAAGAAGCATTCCTGGCTCTAGAACAAGCAGTTCTTGGCTTGGTGATCAACAAAGCCAAGACAAAGTATTTAAGAATAGGACCATCAGAGGTAGGGACAGATTTTTTCAAAGTTGGACCATATAGATTTGAGAGGGTGCAAAGTTTTGTATACCTGAACTCAGAAATAAACACTCAAAATGACCCATCCCAGGAGATCAACCGGAGAACTGCCGCAGCCAATCGAAGCTATTTTGGGCTAGCAAAATACTTCAAAAGCAGATACCTCTCCAACAAGACCAAGATCGGGCTATATAAGACCCTGATTCGTCCGATTTAGTAATATAGGAGTTAAAAATAAAGTAAAAGGTAATGAAGTGAACACTGTGACTTCTTGAACAATACTAGCATTATTTTCCAACTTTTGATTTTTGAAAACAATGCTAATTAAAACATATGTTTTTTATATTATTTTATCTTAGATTAATACTTATCAATTCACTTTCTATCATATGCATTTATATGTGTGTGCATGCGTGCGTGTGTGTTTGTTCTGGATAGGAGAAAAATCTTTCATAAGACGAAGTGCAACCAACAAAAGGTCACACAACAGTGTGATATTCCTACTTACTAAAAAAACACCTCCAAATTCTTCTTTAACACACCGTGGAACTGAACTGTTGTCAAGCATTACTTCACGGAAGAGGTGGAGGGGGCAGAAGGGATACATGCCTACTTCTTCTTTGGACATCTTATTGAAGTTTAACCATTGCCTGATCTCTCCTTTCTTGCTCCTGTGTTTTGAGTTTTCTGCTGATTTGCGCTGCATAGTCTGCTGCAGCACTCCAATTGTTCTGCATAGACATCAAAACGATTAAGTTGACTGGGGATGATTTTGTTTCAAATTTCTTGTCTAGCTATTCCTTTTCTCAAGCAAAACCTGAACAACATAAGAATGAATGTTCCACTGTTTCATCCACGGGATCACAAGTTGGGCACGATGATTTTTACTCTATTTTGAAACGGACTAAGTAGGCCCTGAAGCAACAATGCCTTGTAAGCAGTTGGTTGAGGTAATAATCTACCTCCCCATGTTTCTGGGATATCCATGTTGATATATTGGGAATTAGAGGGTGGGTCCATCTTCCAAAAGATCAGGTGTTCCAACGTATCTGCCATCTTTCAAGTGTATGATTTCTCTATTCTGTTGCTAAAGTAGCCCAGTGAGCATCCGGCTCTTCTCTTTTTCTTTGGAACATTCGGCTGTGTTCATCTGCCAAAGGATCAATCAGAAGCATGTCTGCGATGATGCATACAGATACAGCATTGTAGGACACAGTGCGAAAAGCTCAAGCGACACGCAGGGCAATCCTTCGATGCACACTGATAGCTTTACAGACATATGACTGCACTTGGCAGGCTTCCATCCAGATCAGTGCTGGGTACAAAAGGGTGGAACTGGGTATATTAGCCAGAATCTTTCTCTGATTTTCCTTTGGTCCACCAATATTTGGCATAATCCTAACAATTCATTAATCATTTGCACTGCTCTGGTGCTAACTTTGTGAAAGTGTTCATTAAATCGAAGGGGAGGACTGCCTTGTTCTATAAGTTATCTCTTCCAAGAGTTTCCCACAAACTATGATTGCCAGATCGTCCACAAAGCCAAGCGTAACAGTTTCTTCCTACCTGAGCACAATGTTATACATAATATTCCACAGCAATAGTTCTAGCATTGAACCCTGAGGAACACCATCTTTGATCTTGTAACTTTTTAATCCAGCTTCTGTATCATACCAAGATTCTATCATTGATATAACTCTCAATAATCTTTATAATGTATTCTGGGACTTTCATCCTTTACAATCCCACCGAGCTGAATATAAAGCATTTTTAATGTCTAAGGTTATAATGATGCGGTACTTCTTACCACCTCTTTCCTGCAATGGCTTCCCGAGCAGCTCTGATGGCAAAATCAATGGCATTGATTGTTGATCTACCCACCCTTCTGAAAACCGTACTGATTATTAGATAATCCTCAGGATCCTTTACTAAAGTTGTTCAACTTGCCATAAATGATCCTCTCTAGTACCTCGCCGCCAGTGTCTAGGAGACATATTGGGCAATAAGATGCGGGGTCTTCCGAATCTTTTTGTCAGGTAAATTCTCATAAAACGAAGTGTGACGATAAGTCCACAATAGTGTGAGATTCCTACTCACTAAAAAAACACCTCCCTTTTCTTTATCAAACAGTCCCTCCCTTAGATTGGTGATACTACCAAGCATACTTCTCTCGAAGACTTTGCCTGAATTTCTCAGGAGGCAGATTGGCAGATTAGATGCAGAATCATTTCGGGACCCATTTCTTTTGGCAGGAGTACCAAGCTTTTTTTCTTCCGCTGAGATGGAGAGGCACTTTCATGGAGACAGGAGTTCTACTCTTATCTAGTTTATCTAGGATATCTAGTTTTGACTTGATAGTGACTGTTAGTGCTGTATTTGGGATTTTATCCAGTCAGGGAGCTTTTGAATCCCCTATTTTGTTGCATGATGGATCAAGTTCTTTATGCATGATTTCAGTTGCATGAGTTCTTTCTGATCAAGCAGTTGAGTTTCATCAAAAACCATTTCCGATTGGCTTGGAAATATCACAGCTACTATTTTACCTAACGCATGAGGAGATCCGGGAGACCTCAAGATTAAACTTTTCACTCTTGCCATGATTATTTTGTCAGTTCTTCCCCATGTATGTTAATCCACCTCTTTACACAGCTTTTTCTAGCTGTTGCACTTAATTTATTTTATTGTCCTCACCAGTCCTTTTAGCGTTCTTATACTCCTGTTTCCAAGCTGTATAGTTAGGTGACCTTTTGCTCTTTAGGCTAATCTTTTGGTATGGAGATAAACTTGAGGAGGAACAGTAGTCTCCTCATTCCACCAGTACTGTGCCTTGTGCCGGTTTCTTTTAGAGGTCATCATTGTTGATGCATCGAAAGGACCAATAGTAAATTTTAAGTTGTGAAATTTGTCTTGTTCTCGTTCTAATAATGCAGTTTTTTCTTCCATCATTGTGTAAATAAGTATGTTTACGTGGGTGTGTGTTTGTGTGTAGAACATGATAGACGAAAAATAAAAGAGTTTGTTGTACTTTTACATAATGATTTGTCATGGTGTATAATCTTAAATCATTAATGATTATTTATTTATGTTGTTTTTTTTTTCAGCATAAATTTCAGCCAGGACTCAGACTTCCTTTGTTGTTCAAGTGACAAAGGAACAATACATATTTTCGCTCTCAAAAATACTCAGTTAAACAGGAGATCTACGTAAGTATTATATTAGTTAGGAATTGGTTTGAAAATTGTTTAAATATCTAATTTAACATCTATTAAGTTTAAATATAGATGTAAATAGTTTGAGAAATGGGTACATTGTCCAATAATGTATTCAAATAATTTTTTTGTAACTGTAAGGATTTTGTCGATATAACAGCCCACTATTATGTTTTCGGGGGCACTTTTTATTAAAATGCTGTCAGATTTAAGATTGTGCATCAAGTTTCTGATAATTTTTAGATCCCCTAATATGTTTTCAAGGTCTCTATATGAAAATACTGTCGGATTTATAATTGTGCAATTAAATTTCCAAATTTTCATTTGCTTTTCCTCAGCAATATTATAACTGTTTATAAATAGGCCAATGGAAACTGGAGTAGTACAAATTTTCATTCGCTTTTCCCCTTTTCTCTCATGAATGAATGCTCAGTTTTTCACCATTCCAACAGTTTTAAAGACTATGTAAATGTAGGAAAATTGTAGAAAATTTTCTGAATTTTCATTCACTTTTCTTCTTTCATCTCGTGAATGAAGGATCAGGTTTTCATTGTTCCAACAGTTCTCCGGCTATGTAGATGTAGGCGTAAATGAAGAATCGCTGTAGAAAATTTTCCAAATATTCATTTGCTTTTTCTCTTTTACGTTGTGAATGGATGATCAGTTTTTCACTGTTCCAACTATTTTATAACTATGGTTTAGACAATTTTCCGAATTTTTATATGCTTTCCTCTCTTATGTCATGAATAGATGCTTGGTTTTTCACTGTTCCAACAATTTTATAACTATTTAGAGGCAGGCCAATGGAAACAGTAGTGATACAAAGTTTCCAAATTTTCATTTGGTTTTCTCCTTTTATTTTAGAAAAGGATGCTCGGTTTTTTACGATTCCAGCAATTTTCTTTCTATTTAGGGATAGCCAAAAATGTGGAAATGATGTAATAGGTAATGGATGATAAAATTTTGATTTCTCCTCTATAAGTTTTCTACGCATGTATTGTAGGTAACATTCGTCTAATTTAACCATTTTAATTTTACATTAATTTATCTCTACTTAAATTTTTAGTCTCATGAATAAAATTATATTTATTTCTATTATATTTTTAGTTTGAAGAATAAATTTGAGCAATATTTATTTATACGAAAATTATTGTAGAGTTTGAATGGTTAAATTAAACAAATGTTACCTATGACAGAGCTTAAAAAATTTATAGAGGAGTAATCTGAATTTTATTATCCATTACGAATAACATCATTTCCCCATTTTTGCCTACCTCCACATATCCAGAAAATTGTTGGAATGCATAGATGGGCATAATGATAATCAACGATTATGATTACGATTACAATTATAATCAAAAAGAACTCAATTATTTGATTACACGATTGTAATTGTAATCACGGTTTTTGAATTTGATTATAATCGCATAATCATGTAATCGTAATTATAGTTGGCCAAAACAACCGTTTTATTCATCGAAATAAAATCCCTATTTGTCATCAAAATGGGCTAAAACTTGATCCTACAATATAACCTGTTTTAATGCTTGAAATACCTTCTTGCACTCTGTATTAAAATCAAATTTCTTATCTTTCCCCGAAAAGATTGTGCAGGAGGTGTGCTAATGTGCTTAAATTGTGAACAAAGCAGCTGAGGTCGTGATGGCCTAGTGTGTTAAAGCATTGCCCATTTTAGCATTCTCATGCCTAGAGACGCCAGTTCGAATCCGACTTGGAAGGGGTTGACTTTTCAACCCTCAACTCAACCCTCCCACTCTGGTTTGAATAGGTTTGGTTTTACCTCTAAAACAAGTAATGTCCTTCTGTTATACTAATTAGGTAAATTATACCACTCACTCACTCTTCCTCTTATGACTTTACACATTGAGAACTCGAGTAATCAAAAATCAAAATTTGATGAATTAATTTGCTGTCAAACTGGCCACTTTTGTTTACAACTGGTGGCTCAACCGTTTCAAGGCTGGCCGTTTCATTTCATTTTAACTGTCAGAAGAAGTGGATCAGTAAATGTGTGTTTTCAGTGATTGCATTACATGTGTTTGTTTAGAACCCAAGGGGAGTATGAAATCTAGCAAATCTATCGTGCTGTTAATTTTTTTTTTAGCTCTATTCTGATCCCCATGCTAGCTTTCTGGGCAGAAGGGAGTTTCTGTAGGAAAAAATAAATAACCTACTCACTGTATAGATTTGTGTAAAAAGAAACTCCAATGTTTAGAAAAGACAATGGTGGAAAAAATGATTCATTCTATTGACAAAGAAAAGAAGGAAAAAAATTTATATTATAGACACCATTCTAAGTTCTTTGTGGTGGATACTTATGTCTGAAGACAGTACAAATTTAATTTAGACATTGAAGAAGGTTGTAAACATAGATAGGAAGAAAACCAGAGGAATTACTTTTTGGTAGACTCCGACATCACATAAGGCAAAATCCTGCATGTGATGACAAATTTCAGACTATTCTTTCTAGAATCGATGATCATGATGGGGTTGAATTCGAGAAAGAGAAAGTGATATTAAAACTTGAAAACTCACTTTAGTTTTTAAAGTATTACTTTTGAGATATTCACTATACCTTGTTGCTATATACTATATTGATATGTTGTTGTTTTGTTTAAAGTAATAGTTGATGTTTATTTTGTATATTCTTTAGCTAAGTTATCTCGTAAGAGACTGGGGTAATTAATAGTTTATTTTGTGAATATTACTATTTATATAACCTTACTTAATCTCTTTAATAATTAATGCTAATGCGACTTTTATAGTAAATATATAATTTATTACAAGATATATGTTAAAATAAAGAACATACTACTCTTTTATTTATTTTTTTATCTGTGCGCACGTGCTACTCCTTGTTTACAACCTGGAATGCACCCCCTCACCCAAAAGGTTTAGAACTCTTGCAGTATGATAATATAGGAATATATGAAAGAAAACGAAATTGAAGTTAAGTCTATCTCTTAATGGTTTATTTTAATAGTTTTGTAAAATTTATTATAGAGCAATTTAGTTTTTTGATATTCCAAAAAGTTATTAATATGTTTTCCTTAAATTTTTATATTGTGTTAATTTAATAATGTGAGTAATTATATCACACATTATCCTGTGATTATTTTGGTCTGTAATTATATAAATTTTCTCTTTGTTCAAATTTAATGTTAGTAAGTAAGTATTTGATAAATTTTGAATTATTTAGTCTTACTGTTGTATTTTTTCTAGATTTTCTAATATGACCTTCCTAGGAACTTACATTGAATCCCAATGGGCTTTGGCAACATTCACTGTGCCCCCTGAGTGTGCTTGTATTTGTGCTTTTGGCTCAAGCAAATCAGTTATAGGTATTGTTTTTATTATTATTGAATTTTACTGGTATACTGTATAAATTCCTTTACTCCAATATCACTCAATGTCATTATTCTGGGTTATTCATGGCAAATCATCGAGTTAAAATTTAAGTTAGCCTCCAATGTTCTCAAATATCAATGGTAATTACTTGACATTATGTGAATTATTTATGATATTTACAACTGTATTAATAAATAAAATATATTTAGTAAATTTGATAACAGAAAATAATAATATGAAATCACTTGTTGAGAAAGTTTTGTTTACAAAAGGTTCAATTGATTCAATTTTGAGGGGAAAAAGTTGGTTTTTGAGACACGTGTCTGCCAGATATAACTAGACAACCATTACTGATCATTGACATAATTTTCTAGTTTTTTTTAGAAAAGCTTCCATCCCTCTTCAAATAAGTCAATTTTTTCACCAAGTATTATTACAATTACAATGACTTCTGGTTGGCAGATGTCCTATTTTAGTCCTTGAGGTTGTCTAGTTTTGTTTGCAAAAGCTTTCAACCATCTTCAATTGAGTCCAATTTTGAGGGGAAAAAGTTAGTTTTTTTACGCGTGTCTGCTAGATTTAAGTAGACAACCATTACTGGTCATCGACATAATTTTTTGGTTTTGTTTAGAAAAGTTTCCATCCTTCAAATAAGTCAATTTTTTCATTAAATATTACTAATTTTATAACATATGCAATTTTATCGCAACCTAATTAGGTTGTCAAACATCTATATATTTGCAGTCTCTGGGGAGAGAATGATTTCAGCATCTACAGTCAAAAACTTTCTACAAATCAGACACATTTTTCAGCCTTAGCTCCTGGTCTAAGGGGCCATATTTGAGTTAGTACCTCCTGTTCTAAAAACAATGTGGCAACGATTGGGTAATGCTGCTTTCAGCTTTTTCACAATGGCTTTGTAAGATCTTCTCCATAGGTCCTCATCTACTTCTTTACAGAATTACATCCAGCATCACTTTTTTCCTCTCTTAATTGCTGTACTTCCTCCTCGCTGCATGGCACAATAGTGATGCTAGTGATGATGCTATGAATACATGGCGTTCTGGAATGGATTGATTCCACCAATGCACCGGTAATCATCCGTTCCATAGATTAGTGTGAACCATGGCCAAATCCCGCTGCTTGCTGTCCAGGCCCATTATCTTGTAGGCCTTATCCTCTGGTGTTCCTGACAGCTCACAAGGCTTATCATTATTTTGAAATGTGTCCTTATCAAACTTCTCAGTTTTTCCTTCTTAGTATCCTGTCCCCTAGAGAAGTGAGGATAGCCTGGTGGTCGCCGTTGGTTTATAGATCACAGACCTGCCTATGCACTAAATAATATCAAATAAATTACCAATCACCTTTTCTCTTCGTAAAGTCCGTAGAGTCCATCCCCGTATTTGCCAGTACTAGGTCCTCCATCTGGGCAAAGGCTCCTAGTATGATTTCTCCATGCCAGTTGATCAATTGACTACCCTACTCTGTCGTCCAGGCATTGAAGTATCCAGCAATGACAAAAGACCTTCCCCTTTTGGCATCTTCGACTATGTGATCTAGAAATCTGAGTTGAAATCTAGCGAATTCCTCAATCGTGTTGTGTAGTGGAGCTTAGCAGCTATACAGATATATATTCTTTATATAACCTGTGGCCCACGGGACTTAACTGGAGGTCTCAATACGCCCCGCAGGACTTATTGGAAATCTCAATACGGCTTGCTAACCCAAAAAGTTCAGAGACCCGTGCTCTAATGCAATCATGAAACTAAAGGAATAAGCAGTTGGGCTTCTCACAATAAGCTTACCCTAAATGCCAAGATGACTAAGGCCATCATGATTGGATCCTCTCCGGGACAACCTTACCTTATCCTGAACAACAGTCTTATCTCATTACATAATTCAGTTAAAACCTTTGGAATCACCTTTGACCAAACCCTCTCATGGAATTAACATCTCCCAAATTTACTGCCGGACCTTTTCAACTCTCAAACAATTCAATTACCTACATTATCTCCTCCCATGTAAAACCTGACAAATCCTAGTTTTATTCCTTGTGTTCCCCCACTTTTACTATGGCTGCCTGGTGTATGGTGGACTCCCAGGCGAACTTGAAGCTTGAAGCTCGACTTGAATGGCTCATGAATTGCTTAGATTTGTTTTTTGGGCCTCCAGAGATAAGCAAACACAGTGTTTATCTTTGAGGTTCCATGATTCATTTAATTTAAGGGGAATGGCTGTCAATCTGATATGCCCCCGAGTCAGGTGGAGGGGCTGCCTTTTCTGATGTCTTTCCTAGCTCCGCCACCATCAGGGGAGGCTGCTACCTATTGGAGGTGGCCCTTGGGTGTGTACTGTGAATTGTGAATCACCTTAGTCTATTATGGGGGGGTGTTGTGTGCTGAAGTAGTGTATTGTTCTGGTGTGGTGTGGATGGTGTACTGAACTCAGGATCTTGGTGGTGTTACTCACGGAAGGGGTTTATGCCTGGCTCCTCCCCTGAGATGAGGTCAGTTTTGTTTTTCAAGGTTAAATATTACTTCTTCACCTTAGCTTATACTTAGTGATTATCATGAGACTGAAATGGTCCAGGTGAGAGTCATTATAAAACTTAAAATAGTACAAAAATATGTGTTGGATTAATTTTAAACAGAAACTCATTATTCAACAATTATTGCTAAATGTATAATATATTTCATAGATTTCAAATTAATTCTGAATGGTTTAATGAAATTTCAAAAATTGCATCTCCTTTTGCTATTAAACAACAGAAGTGTCCTTTGTATAGCATTTATTTTTCAATTTACTCATGTATGTGAACAGGCTAGCTCAAAAACGAAAAGTCGTATGAAACTGAAATTGCTTATTTGTGTTTTTTTTAAGCCTGGGATGTTACAGCACAGTTTTTGTCATAATCGGCAAACCGGAAATGTTACTTTATATCATAGATTTTCTCAAAAAGGGTTCTAAAGATTTTGATTAAACTCAGTATATCAGTGTATTATTAAGCATTTTTTAATATAATGTAGGTTTTATTCTCATTGATGTTCTCTAACAGGGCTAAAATGGCTAATTTTCAATATTAGCTTCCTCTAAAGTACCTTTAACTTTTTTATTTTAAATAACTAACTATTTCACATCAATCTTTGATATAAAAAATAGTTAAACATAAAATATGAAAGCATTTGATAATTAACTAATGGAGAAATACGAGATTGCAATGGATAATAGTTGTAATGGATCAACCAAAGGTAAACGAGCTCGCCTGAAAGATTAGAACTGGCTTCTATACGTAACATGAGCTTAATATAATATGGACTTCGACAATATTATGTACATATAAATATGAGGTTTTCATAAATGCTATCATTGGTATTATTTAATATTTAATTGTATAGATTACAGCAATATAAAAATTAAAATTTGTATAGTAAGGGTAATTAAACAAATAAAAATACCCACAATGAAATGAAAATAAATATTTCATCTATAATTTTTACTTTCAATTCCCCTTTGTCTGAAAATACTTATTTCTGCTAAGAAGTGAGCGGTAAGTGAAAGTCGTGTGATGCACACCCCAGATTTTTTTCTTTTGTGACCTAGGATGTATTTTAATAAATTAATCACTAAAAGACATAGTATAGTATAATATTATGCGACCAACTCGATGTTTCTATTTTCTAATATTTTCTTTTTTCATGAAAATAATAATAAGCTATCTCACCTTTAATTTTGTTCTCTAGCATATGAATTTTCCATGTTATTCTTTATCTGAAATTCAATACTCCATTTTTGTTAAATGTTGCTCCTTTAGAAAAAAAATATGTAGAAATTTCTTGCTTAAATTTCCAAATGCTCAAATGTTGCGTCAGAATGCATCATTCATTACAATTAAAAGTTAATACTGAAGAGAAGAATAGTTGGGGTGCTCAGTCAAAAAGGAAGGCAAAAAATAAATTATAATATTTATTTTTTAACATATGCCGACGTTTCGACCTGAAGTTCAGGCCTTCATCAGGGCTAAGAAAATAATCAGATAACAAGGTTAGAGAAACATAAGTAATGATGGTAAAAAAAATAATAAAAAATAAAAAAATAAAATAAAAATTATTAGAAAAATAAAATAGATAAATATAAAGTAAAATGAAATTGTTAGAATAATGACTAAGAACTAAGAGAAAAATAATAAAAACCATTACAAAGTGTGGAATGATGAAGTAGGAATAATCAAAAAACGGGTGACAAAAGTGTTACAATGGTAATCTTAGAATAAAATGTAAAACATAAAAAAGAAATATAAAGTTATATAAGAAATGAAAATAAATAGTAAAATTAAAACATTGAGAATGGAGTAGTTAGATAGAAAATTGAGATATTATAAAGTCTATCAAGATGTACAGACAATGTATAATATAATAAAGAGTTAAAAACAGAGAAAAGGAAGGAGGGAAGAAATTGAGAAAGCTGAAATAAGAAATAAATAAAAGAAGCACTACCTGTCTCCTTAACTGTCACAGGGAGAATAAAAGTCGTTACAAGGAAGGGGGAGAGAGAAGAGATGTGTAGGTGGCGTCATCTCTAACGGTTATCCAACGAAGTTAGAACTAAAGCACTGGAAGCCTAAATAGGTACGAGAGATATATTATTCAGAAAAATTATGGAAAATTGAACGAAAGTTAGTAGAAGGTGAAAGAAAAATTCAAAAGAAAAATAACTTTTGAGTAATAAGGGAGAAAAATTGAAATAAAAATATATCATATATACATATATATACATATATATATATATATATATATATATATATATATATATATATATATATATATATATATATATATATGGAGATATGTATATATATGCGTGTATATGTATATGTATATATATACACGCATATATATACATACACACACACACATACATATATATATATATATATATATATATATATATATATATATATATATATATATATATATAAGGAAGTTGTCAGCAAAATGGAAAGGAATATAACTGTGGATGTTTTAATAAATTCAGAATTTGGGAGTACGCTAAAGAAAAGTTCTGTTTGTCAGATTTTAGATTCACTGTCTTTGGTTGAAGCTGGATGTGGAGGGTTTCAGAAATGAGTCGTTTGTCATGGTTGAGAACTGTGGCAAGGATGGATGTTTTGTCGAAATCAAATGAATGATTGAGGGAGAGAGAATGTTCGGATAATTTGGAAGCTGTAAAATTACGAGAGAATACAGAATATTTATGTTGGGTTATGCGGTCTTTTAGGAGATTTTTGGTTTGACCAATATAGGATGAAAAACAATTGGGGGTAGAACATGGAATACGGTAAACAATATGAGAGCGATGTGAGAGAGGAACCGGATCTTTTAGGGATGTGTATAATTTAGAGAGTGTGTTGTGAGATTTGAATGCAAGTCGTAAGTTAGGGTTAGTAGATCGTAAAACTTTGTTGATGTTGTCTGAAAGGTTAGGAATATAAGGTAGAGATCTGTATATAGGGGCTGAAATGGGTTGTGGAGAATTAGTGGAAGTTGAGATTAAGGAAGAGCGATTATTGTGGTCTGTTATAAGTTTGTTAATGCCATGGAGAGGAAAATTATTGTTTGACAGGATCTGTTCAATCAGATTCTTATTTCAGATCCTGTTTTATGCGTCTGACAGATCAAACGCATAAAACAGATCCTGTCAAACAATAATTTTCCTCTCCATGTCATTAACAAACTTATAACAGACCACAATAATCGCTCTTCCTTAATCTCAACTTCCACTAATTCTCCACAACCCATTTCAGCCCCTATATACAGATCTCTACCTTATATTCCTAACCTTTCAGACAACATCAACAAAGTTTTACGATCTATTCAATTTTTCTCCCTTATTACTCAATAGTTATTTTTCTTTTGAATTTTTCTTTCACCTTCTACTAACTTTCGTTCAATTTTCCATAATTTTTCTGAATAATATATCTCTCGTACCTATTTAGGCTTCCAGCGCTTTAGTTCAAACTTCGTTGGATAACCGTTAGAGATGACGCCACCTACACATCTCTTCTCTCTCCCCCTCCCTTGTAACGACTTTTATTCTCATTGCGACAGTTAAGGAGACAGGTAGTACTTCTTTTATTTCTTTCTTATTTCAGCTTTCTCAATTTCTTCCCTCCTTCCTTTCATTCCTTTTCTCTGTTTTTAACTCTTTATTATATTATACATTGTCTGTACATCTTGATAGACTTTATAATATCTCAATTTTCTATCTAACTACTCCATTCTCAATGTTTTAATTTTACTATTTATTTTCATTTCTTATATAACTTTATATTTCTTTTTTATGTTTTACATTTTATTCTAAGATTCCCATTGTAACACTTTTGTCACCCGTTTTTTGATTATACCTACTTCATCATTCCACACTTTGTAACTGTTTTTATTATTTATCTCTTAGTTCTTAGTCATTATTCTAACAATTTCATTTTACTTTATATTTATCTATTTTATTTTTCTAATGATTTTTATTTTATTTTTTTATTTTATTTTTTATTGTTTTTTTACCATCATTACTTATGTTTCTCTAACCTTGTTATCTGATTATTTTCTTAGCCCTGATGAAGGCCTGAACTTCAGGTCGAAACGTCGGCATATGTAAAAAATAAATATTTTCATTTATTTTGTCTTCTCTTCATTATCCACGACAGTCAACCAATTACCAATTATATATCCTTTTATGTATTTATTTTGATAAGTTTATATAATAATGCTACTCAAATTGAACTTTCCTTTGTTTTAGCCATTTGTGTTGATGGGACTTTCCACAAGTACGTTTTTAATGCTGATGGCAACTGTAACCGTGAGTCTTATGATGTTTACCTAGATATTTATGAGGATGATGAATTTTAATATTTAATTTAATTTCTAGTCTTGTAAATATTTTACGTGTATAGCATAATAAGAAATGGCTGTGTGTTATGAAATATGAAAACATAATTTGAACTAGAAGGATAGTTAATGTGAAAGTTTACTAATCATTATTTACTGTTCCAATGGAAACTTAATTTGAGCTAGAAGGATAGTTAATGTGTTTACATTCATTATTCACAGTTCACAGTTCATATTTCTCAGTGTTGGGCATTTTTTGAATGAATTTTTATTTTAGTGATTGAACTAAAACCGTGATCTATATGAACATGAAAATATTCTCCGAATAAAAATTCATTCAAAGGAAATATTCACTAAATAAAAATTTATTCAATGAAAATATTCACTGAATAAACATTTATTCAAGCATTAATCATTCCAAATTATTGTTAATATGCTCTACAGTCCTTACCGGACCTGAGCCTCAGAAACAAGCTTCCGCCAGGCCTCCCTATTTCTAGCTATTCTTCTCCATCTTCTTATACCCATAAGGCTGAGGTCTTCTTCTATGTCATCGGATCACCGCAGCCATGGTCTTCCCCTAAGGTGGGCCCCTCCCGGGCGGTTATAAAGAAGTTTTCTTTTCAATCTATCTTCCTCCATCCTCTGTACATGGCCAAGCCATCTGAGGCAGTCCCTTTTGACTGTTGCAACAATATTATTATTCTTATAAAGCTCCTATGGTTCTTCATTTTTCTTATTCTCTGCTGATCATTTATTTTTTTGCGACTATATATTTTCCTTAGGACTATCCTTTCCCAAATTTTCAGCAATCTCTAGCTTTTCTGGGTCAACACCCATGTTTCACACCCCTAGGTAACAATTGGCCTTATGATGTTTTTATAAAATGTTATTTTGGCATCCCATGTCACTTCCTTTGGTTTTAGTAATTTTGCCGGTTAATAAAAACATTTAACCTTCTGTAATTCTGGCTTTTATTTCGGTCTGTATTTTGTTTTGGTCAGTCACTACCACTCGCAGGCATTTAAATTCTTTTCCCATTGGAAAACGATGCTGATTGTTTTAAACGTATTAATTACTTACTACATTATTCCTTGAGGACTTCATGTAAAGGCTTTTATCTTAATTTATGCTCTGGCCTATCTGCTTTGTTTTCCTTTCCAATTCCTCAATCGATCCTGTCAGGGCCGACAATGTACGAGCGCTGATAAGAACATCGTCCGTATTTGCAAGACTTTGTTTCAGTCTATTATAAATCATCCTTCCAGGATTGGTCCTTATTGCCTCATAGCCCACTCTAGCGCTAGATTAAAAAGGACTGGTGATATAGGGTCTCCCTGCCTCAAGCCCTGTTTTACTTTAAAGTTGCTTGAAAGGTCATTCTGAATTTTGACTTTACAATTTGTGGTTCTTGCTGTTATCTTGGTCAAAAGAATCAATTTTTCGGTGGTCTACTGTTGATCTGTTTTTCCTGAAACCATATTGGTAGTCTCCGCAAACTCTTTCTCCCCATGACTCTCTAGTCTCTTGCTTATGACAATTGACTGTACTTTATATACAGTTTGTAACAATGCTATTCCTCTGTAATTAGCGCAGTTCAACTTGTCCTTTGTTTAAAAAGAGAACATAAAACTGCCGTGTTCCATTCTTCAGAGATAGTTTCCTGCACCCCGATCATGTATATGAGGTCATAAAGCTGTTTTATTAGTTCTTCTTCACCATTCTTTATCAGCTCAGCTGTAATTTTGTCAACACCCGGCTTGGGAAAGCAAAATCGTAAAAGATATGAAAGAGCAGTATGCAGCAAATAATGTAACGTCCTCCAGGAATAATGTAGCTATGCATGAATATGTTTAAATTAATCAGCACCTCTTTCCAATGGGAACAGAATTCAAATACCTCGGAGTAATAGTCACTGACCAGAACAAAATGCAAGCCGAAATAAAGGCCAGAATTACAGCTGGCAATAAGTGTTTTTTTGCCCTGGCAAAAATACTATAATGTAAGGAACTGAGCTGGAATACAAAAGTAACAATCTATAAAACCATTATAAGGCCAGTCGTTACCTATGGGTGTGAAACGTGAGTTCTAACACAGAAAAGTGAGAGGTTGCTAATAATATGGGATAGAAAAGTCCTAAGGAAAATATACGGTCTTAAGAAAATAAATGACCAGTGGCGAATACGGAAAAATGACAAGCTCTATGAGCTGTTTAAAAATGATAATATTGTAGCCACTGTCAACAGGAGCCGGCTCAGATGACTAGGCCATGTAGAAAGAATGGAGGAGAATAGGTTGCCTAGGAAACTTCTCTATAACCGCCCAGGAGGAGCACGTCTTAGGGGAAGAACCCGGCTGCCGTGGATCAACGACGTGGATGAGGACCTCAGCCGTATGGGTATCAGAAGATGGAGAAGAATAGCTGCCGATAGGGAAGCCTGGCAGAAGCTTGTTTCTGACGCCCAGGTCCATTAAGGACTGTAGAGCAAATTAATAATAAAGCCATAATTATCTCTTCTATTTCTTCCTTCTCTGGCGGTAAACCATTCCAAAAATATATTTAAATTAAATATATTTTTTAAAAAAATAATTGTAACTGACTTCCAAAGCTCAAGATCCCGGCTTCGAATCTGGTTGATGGCAGGTAATTATTTATTCTGTTTCATGAGCCGTGGATCAAGTCTGGGGTTGGAAAATCCTCCTGGGGCTGGGCCAAACCCAGCCTCTATAAAGTGGGCTCTTAATTAAGGGAGAAAATCTGGCGATTGAGCGTGATTCTTGCCCGATCACCTCCCTGCACAACTGTTGACCTTAAAGTAGTACTTCCTTGTAAAGTGCTGAATCCAAGACCCTTCGTGGGTTATAATAGTACAAGTTTGTTCTTTTTAAATAAGGGTACATTGAGTTATAACAGGTGCTTATTATGAAAAAAAAAATCGATCTTAATATTGCACAATCACATATCAATTCATTTTATTACTGATGTTTTGTAATTTTGAATTTCTTTGACATAAAGGTCTATTATTAATTTGTCAGGACTTCTTTTTTATGAAAAGTCTACCAGATTTAACCAGGAACATAATAATGCACTCTTAATTGTGGCAACAATATCTGGTGTTTCATATAAATTTCCTCCTTTGTCTTCATCCGCCAGCGATCTCCTTTTGTAGGACCAAAGATCTTTCTGAGGATTTTTCTTTCCCACATGTTTATTAACAGCTTTTCATCATTGCGTGTCAGCGTCCAGGACTCGCTTCCATACAGGACCGTAAGAGTGTACCGTACAATACACTCTTATTTTGAAAGCTCTGGATATATTCCGGATTCGAAATATTTTCATTAGAGACCAGTAGCATCGATTGCTGCTGTTATTATTATTATTATGTGATAACAGTGCCTAAATACTTAAACTAGTTTACTCTCTTGAAATGTTATTCAGACCCCTCAATATGCCTGTTCTCTCATTCTTCCTTCCTGGTCATCATTTATTTAGTTTTTTCCATGTTAATTACCAGTCCTGTTCTACTAGGAGCTACTTCTCACTCCTGGACTGCTCTAAGTAATGCACTAACTTTTCTTCCGGTAATCACAATATCTCCCTGTTTAACACCTTAATGGATATCAAATTATTTTCACAACTCCTTTGCTGTCATGCAGGGTCATCTTGATAAGCCTGATAAGCTTCAAAGGATATTCCAGATGTTTTAACTTTTCATACATTCCACTTCTGTTTATGCTGTCGTAAGCTTTGCTATAAACAAATGGTGCTGTTCAATTCCATTCCCAGCATTTTTCTAGCATCATCCTCATGCAAAAAATGTGGTTCGTTGTAGATCTTCCAGGCGGAATCCACACTGGTAATCACCCAACACCTCTTCTGCTCTCTTAACAACTCGCTTCATCAGCAAAGTTTACAGCACCTTATAGACTATGCATAGTAATTCGATTCCTCTATAATTCCCACAATCCAATTTTTCTCCTTTTTAGTCATTATGACTTCTTTTACTTCCTCAGGATTAGGTTGTTCCAGCTCTGCATCCTCTCGACAACATAATAATCGACCCTCATATCAAAGAAATCTGAAAAGTTTCAAATGCTTGATTCAGGATTTCGCAATCTTAAAACTAATGTATATTCAAAATATGCCTCTGACAATATAATAATTGACCCTTTTATATCAAAGAAATATGAAGCTTCAAAAACTTAATACTTGATTGTGTAGTCTTAAAATCAATAGTATTTTCATAAAGTGTCCCCAAGATTACAATAATGGACTGTTATATCCAAGAAATTCAAAACGTTAGAAAAACTTAAGATGTGATTGTGCAATCTTAAAACTGCAATATATTTTTATTAAAAGCTCCTCCTGCAATATAATAATGACTCTTATGCCAAAGACATCTGAAAAGTTCCAAAAACTTGACATGTGATTGGACAATCTTAAAATTGATAGTATTTTCATAAAAAGTATCCTCGACTATATATTAATGGACCCTTATATCAATGAAATCCAAAAGGTTTTAAAAACTTGTGCATGATTGTGCATTGTTAAAAATGATAATATTTTTGTAAAAAGTGCCCATGACAATATAATAATGGACCTACATTTCAAATAAATCCAAAAAGTCAATTTAGAAAAAAAACTTGACATAATTTTACAAACCACATACAAAAAAATATATATGTTTATGGGATGATTAATCTTTGATTAATGTTTATCCAGTGAATATTTTTCTTGAATACATTTTTATTCATGCAATATTTTATATTATCTGTCTTTCTTAATATCTCATATTCACAGAGCTCCCTATTCTGTCTACTCCTCCAGCACTCAATCTTTTACAGACTCCAATAATCTGTGTAAAACTTGCATTTCAAAGATGAGGAGGTCCTTCTTGTGGTTTTAGAGTATCTAGGTTTAAGATTTAACCATTTTAAGTTAATTTCATGTGGTATGTTCATATGTTAATT